AGATTCTCACCAGATAATTGTCTATTATAAATATATGACTGAAGGTGTAGTGAGGTAATACACTAATAAAGCTGTTTATTTAACAAACAAATGGATTTGTTTGTCTTTTTTCAGTAAATAAGTTTGTTCATTAATTTATTTAACAAATAAATTTATTTTTTCAAATTTTGTTAACTTATTCATTTATGCATTTATACTTTTTGATTAATATAGTCAATTTAGCATTAAGTCAGATAGTCATGTGACATTGTTAAAATAATCTAGTACTTTTTTACATGTACAAAATATTTGTCTTGGAATGGGTTATTGTCAATATAAATCGTTTGCTTGTAAAATAGATTGACCTAAATTCCTTTTTTCCTGTCGTATTGTCTAATCAACACTAATATTTTAGAATTCCCTAGTGTTCCTGTTTGTCCATTTTCTTTGTGTAAAAGAAGCTCTCACATATAACAAGATTTATTTGCATGGCACTATCCCAGGTACTTGATATTGTTTGAAAGGAAAATGTTAGGTAAAAGAATGCAAGGTATTTTTTCAGTAAGGCTTTATAATTTTCCAGTTCTGTGTCAGATCTTGCAGAGTGCAGTTCGAAATCACTTATTTTTAATAAAAGCACATTTAACAATTGCAACTTAATAAAAAAATAAATATTCAGTGGCCGTTATTGTAGAGCACATACCCCACAAATAGCATTATTCTTAGCATGGGCTTCCTGTGTATTTCCGTCTGACGTGGTGACCAATGACCCCACCCGCCAAGATCCGCCTCTGCGGTTGGAACAAAGTAAAATAAGAGCTTACTAACTAGTAGTAAAAACAACTTATCCCAGCGGTTACCCTCAGGCACTCGATTCCCATTTCCCCATCTCCCGGATTCAGTCTAAGACCGATCTAAATCCCGACAGAGAATGCCCACACGCACAAAGTAATCCTCATTATCACCCGATACCCTGTTACTAGCCCCGCTGTTGTTGGCTAGCCGTGCACCATAATTATGTATGCAGCTTGTCATTATCCTCCGTGTTCACGTCTGCCACAGAAGCCATTTAGTATGCAACGTCAGTCTAGTTCAGCTGTTTGCATACACACCATACATCCGCTGTTCCATCGTTTGGATGAAATATTTTCTGAATAAATTCTACTGTTAAAATCACCAGCTTGTATATACGTTCATATTCGATAACATTAATTGCCTTCTTTGCCATAGTTTAAATAGAGTATGTGGTTGATCTGCTGGGTTAGTATTTTTAAGTGTTCTTCGCTGACATATGAGTGTTTTTTTGTGTGAGTTTAATATATAATCATTTTGTAATACCATAGTGATTTTCTYTCGCGTCCATGAAGAGTTGATTGCGCTTTTGTGGACTTATCCTCTAAACTTCAATCCTGGGTCGAAATATTAATTTGCAATAGACTATATAACCATTCAACGTTGCATCAACCACCGTAAATGAGAGATGAAAAAGAGCAGATGTCCAGAGGAGCTGCGAGATAAATTCTAGTTATAATCACCGATTATGGAGCCTCAGTTTTCATCTAACCGGCAGTTTTTAATCTACATTATATYGCATTTCTCCTTGTCCTTACTTTTCTTTTTCGATTTWTGATGTTTTWCTTCTTGGGCAACATCCTTCAATTTCTTTTTATTTTCCTTCTCTTTGYTTGTTTCCAATTGATTTGTTTTCTTTTGACCTGTTGTTTCAGTTTTCAATTTCTTCTTCTTCTTCATTTTCAKATGATCTTCTTTAAGACGATCGGAGTACGCAAACATTTCACGTTTGCCATGGCTTCCTCGACGAAGATCGCCGCAACTRGAGTGACTGACGGTTGAAGGTACTGTCAAAGTTGTTTTCCCCAGTTGACTAATATCCGYCCAAGAGTTTCTTTTTCCCATAATGGGACTTGAAAGCGGACTTCGCAGAAGAGTTCCAGCTGTTGCTGTTACGATAGGATTCATGTTTTTCAGGTGAATTGGAGGTGCTTGTGGCTCCTTTGCCACAGAGCTTTTGACGTTTTCCTTGATTCTACGACACTGCTTTGAAGAGGTGACATCTGTTTAAGTCCACGTCTTCAGTAGGTCTCCCTAGTCTCTTTCTCTTTATATCAATTACTCTACTGGGGCTTGCGCAAATAGGACAGCGGCTTAGAATACCCATCGGAGCCATTTAATCGTAAATCAAATGTGAATATTAATCGAGTCGYCAAACAAAATATAATGAAACATACGATAACGAAAAATTTCAATGTGGACTGTTTTAAAACACGTAGTTTCGGTGACGACAATAGATTTTTTTATGTATACTAGAATCTTTTTCTTCGTAAAAAGACTTAGTGCTAATTGGCTTTTTTCTTAATCTTTTCTTATTCGCCAGCTGTCGCTTTGTAAATTCTGTTTCCATGCGAAATTAATGCAAATCTTCTTTCAGAGCTTCAGGCTGAGAAAACAAGTTACGATTGTCTAACTTGTCCAACATTTGAAAAGAAAACATGAAATCCGTCTCCATCATGAGAGACATAATGGATTGATCGCAATTGTTAAAATCACACAACGGCAGAGATTTAGTCTGTTTTTCTTTAAATGTGCCCTCAGGACCCCACGCATAATTAGTCACGGTGAGATACAATCCAAGTGTCGATAAAACGTTTCTTTCATAAGCAGCGTCTTCTTTCTACTAATTGAATGTTGCAAATCACGCAGAAAAAATAGACTTGAATTCTACTCAATTCTATTGATTCATTTATTGATTTTTTTTTTAATTATTGATTGATTGATTTTTGATTTATTATTTTTTATCGCAATCCATTATAACAGTTTAGCACATAAATATTACGGACATGTATTGAATTGTCTGATGTAAGGAAGGGTGTCTTATTAGGAACATAAATTAATTTCATAAATAAAACAAATTAAACAATCCATCACTGAAGACCTTCATTTTAAGTACAGGGCCGTAGTGCCCTGAGGCCGTAGTGCCCTGAGGCAAAGGGGCACATGCCGCCCAGTTTTTGCAAGAATAATAAAAATTAGCAAACAGAGCCAGCAAAAAATGAAAAAGTCCACATACAATGTATCATTTTCATTTGATTTGCTGGTTCATGTTATCGCTTAAATCAGCATTCAATGGCTTTCCTTAAATACTTCATATGCCTAAGAAGGCTGCAATGTTTTTAAAATAGCAGTATTTTCGTAAACGTTTTAGAAATCACGTGATGGACTATGATGTGTTGTTTTTCGACGGCCCTGAATTGTCAACGATCCTTACCCCTTGTGTACTGTCTACACCCCCGACAATCAAATGATTTTGACAGTGCAAAAAACCCCATGCATTGAAACCCTTTGGTTCGGGCTAATTCCATTGTTTACTTCTGTCTCCATTTATTTTTTATATTTTTTGTGATTTTGACAACGTCATCAAATATAAATTATTAATAGTGGACTTTCTTACAAATTCAAAAATGAAAAACGTTGGATACTCTGACCCTTGCACCTGACAGTACTTCTGTCAGCTGAAAAGTCAAGGTCAGTTGTCCCGATCAAGTGATTACATTTTCTCTCCCACTGTCTCTGTACTCTAGGGTAAGATGACACTAGGGTAAGTGTACGAATATTACCAAGAATTCAGGTTTTGTATACAATGTAATCTCATATGGGTATGATATTTGAAGTACTTATGATTATAATAATCCATAGTTCTTAGCAACTAGTGCAAAAAGAAGTGACAACGGAAACAAACATCAACAGAAAATTGAATTGAAACTCCAATAGGTTGGTCCACTTTCTTGACTGTCCTTGACCACTGCATCCATAACAATTCATATATTTCAGCCATTTAATAGCCATTTAGTTCTAGTATCAGCATATTATCTCTTATTATTTAGATCTAGGATTACCATATTGTCTCTTATTTTTTGAAGTAGCATTAAAAGATCTGCACATAAGCAGAAGTCGAACCATCCCGCCATGTTGGATCTTCCACTACTTTAGCTCGGCACATAGGGCATGTTTGCTCTCGATCAAACCATAGAGAAATGCAGTCTTCACAAAAGATGTGCTGTAATCAAAATAATATTGGACATTKGAAAAAAATGGAATTTTGAATCATTAGAAATAGTTTTCACCATAAATGAGGCTTATGTAAATTATTTACAACTGAAATAGTTTTAAGAATTTTCATTTATTAAAGTAACAAAAGATACCAAATTTACCTTACAAGTTCGAAGCATGATTGGATCTGTCAGATCTTCTTGACATATAGGACAAGAGTTTCCAACTTCATTTATTTCTTGTTTTGATGGTACTGTTCCATATTGCTGAAAAAACAACAAAGTCACTTATTCCATGTACAAATAAACTGCACTGTACTACTCAACACCAGGCTATAATCTACAACTTATCATTTGTAACAAATATACTACACTAATACTCGACAAAAACTCTACTTACCACATCTCGACAAAACGTTTGATATCCACTGTATACTTCTTTGACTTTTGCAAAAACCATTCTTCCCTGATGATAATATATTAACAACTTGTTAGAATAAGAATGCCCAGTTAATGTTCAATAATATCTACAATTCACATACAGTAACTTAGTACTTTTTTGGGTGTATAATTTATCTTATTTCATGTCAACTATAACTTAACGGATTGTGTTACGATCTAGGTTCTACATGTACTTCCTCTAAGATCTGTCAATCAATGTCATACTAGAACTGTATTATCCATGAAAATACTGGTAACAAGTAGTTTTCTTTTCACCTTTAATATGAGATAAATAGAAGTTGCAACCAAGGCAAAGTATTCRCCCCCATAGTTGTAGTCTGTGAAGTATGCAAACCATAGSGGCATGGGTACTAACATTCGATATAGCTGGGACAAGTGTTCCAGTAACATGTAATACTTTCCCTGAAAAGAGTGACATATATATTATTAGTTATTAATAAAAAGCTGGAAATTCACTAACAAAGATGTTTGTGTATACTCAAGTTGGATACTTTGAACATTGTATACTCATTATTTTATGTTGAGAAAGCACTTTGATAAGCACCTCCCCTGAGCAAGTACCTAGTTACATTCATTACAATATAATAATATTATTTTTCTTAGAATAACAATATAATTTTATTACCCTTTTTCTAAATGGAATAATCCTCTTGTGCATCACAATGACAACAGATTTGAGGGCCATTGTTATCAGGCGAATGACAAAATCTAAAAGAAATTACATATTAAAATCAACCAAGAATATAATATGGCTGATAACTTGATAAGTTAGTTGTACCTGTAATGCCTGTACACCAAAAGACAGTCCACACATCCATTGAGTAAAAATGTGGTCTTCTGAAGATGAGACTGAAAGAAATATTGCAGCAGAAAGTTATTTCTAAACAAATTGCATATTGGTGTAAAAATATAATGATCTCTATAACTGCATCAATTGATCTATTTTCCACATCAAATCAATAAGTGTAAAATAACACAGTGCACTAACCAATTTTCAAGATGTTGGCTACCAAAGACATAATAAATAAAGAAAACATTTCCAGATAAAAAGAGGAAAGTCCACAGCGATACTCTGTTCAGTCTTCTGTCCTGAAATAAYAAGAAAAAGATAGTTGACTGGAGACTCAGGCATGAGATCACTTTCAAATATGTCTTTGCTTTAACTACATTATAACAGAATCTATAAATGATGGGAAATCATGGAAATTGTGCCAGATAACAAACACAGAGTCCTGAAGTTGAATCAAAGTAAGGATACTAACCTTCAATGCAACCTGTCTTTTCACAGTATTATTAGCATGAAGATAGGTTCCACATAACCCAATAAACACAAGAATTCCTGGAAATATAACCACAACTTAAACTTAGTGTATAGGAAGCATATWCCCCAAATAAAAAACATTAAAAAATGACCTATTTTCAGCAATTGTACATGTGCTCCGATTGTTCAGGACTAGTGTTGTCTTTTCATTCATCTACTTCAAAGACAGCAATTGGAACAAAAAAATCCTTGGTAGGGAGGGGGGAGAGAGAAAAATCCCAGGGGGGTATATATACTCCCATGAATTTATTAAAGGAATTTCTACCAAAATACGGCATTTGGCTTTTCGCCTTTGTGTCTCGAACAGTGTATCCAATTGACCTTCATTTATCTTAAATAGGGACCATTCTTTCTATGTACCATATCTTATACAGGGTCTAAGACATATTGACATCTCTTAYAGAACCAAATGATTTCTTTCAACCCTTGAATCTTGGATAGGGTGTACATTTATCTATTGTATTAAATGTAGTATGAAATTTCATGATTTTGCTGTCTTGAATGTGGTCAGGATTTAGACATACCAGGTAGAACTTCCCCTAGACTTTCACAAAGTCCCTTTTTCGCGCTCGGAGTACTATTCTTTCTTTTTCTGATTCCAAAGAGAGTCCGACTTGTAGCAAGACTAAACTTCCAAATTCAAATCTAGATCAAGTATCCACACCTCTCCGCTGAGAGGAAAATATTGTATAAAACAAACAGATTCCATTTTTCATGTGTCTAGTACTCTTAATAGATGTACACAGATGTCAAAATGTAACGAGAACACTTATAGTCAGGCCACCTGACTTCATCTTCTAGTTGCAGGGGCTATTAGCATGCAATCAAAATCCACTTTAACACCATTCCTCCCCCTCCCCCTTGCAACCCCCTTTTCCTCTTGCAACCCCCTGCCCTAATACATTCTTGATTACAATGGCTAAGCAGTATTGATCCCTATTTATTTTACCTAATCTATGATCCCACATGATTCGGCTCAGAAGCAGCAAAACAAACGGTAAACTTCTTTCTAACCACGATATTGTACTTTGGAATTCCATACGATCACCAGACGATCTGGAATTGCTATTTGTTTGACCAGCCATATTACTTGCTTGTTCAGCATTTTCCTCTGTGTCTGACGAATTCCCCGAGTTTGTATTCGTACTAGAAAGTCTTCCAGATTCATTTCTTATTCTAGCACCATATCGATTAATTCCCTGKTCTCTTTCAAAGCCAAGAGCTTGCGATAAATCCACGTATGTTGTGGGTGACATTGGAGAAAGCGGAGAAGTAGACGTTGAACGAGAGTTGGGTACTCGAGACGGAGAACCAAAGCTTGGGACAAACTCACGAATAACAGAGGTGAAAGGATTAAGATTAGAAAGGTTGATTTGCCGATTTCCTGTGGTATAAGACCATGAAGAAGACCGCACATGCGAAGATCTTTGTCTGTACGACGATATATTCCTATTTCCGTCCGCCATGTTTAGTTCAGGGTTTATTTTTCCCCAATCCATTGCGTCATGGACGTGGACGAGTGAGACCACAGGGAGCCCAAGCAATGACTTTGTTTGAACCTATAATAGTTAAAAAGACAATTTTACTTAAAAAATGTCATTCATTGTTATAATGCATTGTGACACTGRATAAAATAAAAGTAGACTATTTTTATGTAAAATTTTCTTTTTAATTATTATAGATTCAAAGTCAATTCTTGGGCTCCCTGTGGTGAGACTAAGTACTTTTGTTACCATTTACTTCCGTCAAGCGTCATAYAAACTTCAGTAAGCCACGATTATTACGTGACTTACAATACGCGTTGTTTCGACGGCTCACACTCACCATGGAATCTTTGGACGACGAGAAGACTCGCCCCGCTGAAGCAGAAGATAGAAAGAATAAAAGAGTTGATTTTGACGATCTTCTGGCACTGGTCGGCGGGTTTGGCAGATACACTGCCTGTCTATATGCATTTATGTGTTTTGTCTCTGTACCCACTGGAGCTCAAAATTTAGTTCAAGTTTTTTATGGTGCAACGCCAGAATTTCGTTGTTCGGCTCAAAGCGATGTTTCCTTCACAAATATTACATCGTGTGCAGTTGATAGTTGCTGTAGGAATTGCTCAAGCTATAATTTTAAAGCTACGTTCACCAGCGCTGTGACAGAGGTATGTCTGATAGATGACGGTCTAAAATTTCACTATTTCCGATCTAYCATTCATTRCCTTGTCACGATGACCAATTCCTCTCCTCTCTCTCTCCTCCCCCACCGATAAMGTTTTTTCAAGTTAACACAGAAATTCATTTTTTTGTGTAGTGGAACCTGATTTGTGATCGATCACATCTCAAAGCGATGACTCAAGCTATATACATGGCTGGTCTTCTTGTTGGATCGTTTCTTTTTAGTTTTCTTTCAGACAGGTTTGGTAGAAAACATTCAGCATTTGCCAGCATTTCACTCCTGGTAAGAACATGAACTTTTCTATAAAATCGTTCAAAGACTTGCAGTTTCCACAGGCCGAGCGGTGCGGGTCCCAATAATTCCGCGCGGACTAGAAGGCTACAATACGCGGGGTTTTTGAATAGCAAACGCCGTGAAATTATAAGTTTCTGCCAGGTTACTTTGACCTTTTTGTTGCAGGTGTTTTGTGGTACGGCGTCTGGGTTCCCTGACTGTCTATCATTGTTTGCAATACTTCGTTTCTTTTCTGGTATGGCCAATGCTGGCTGCCTATTGGTTCGTTATGTTTACTGCATGGAGTTAGTGGTTACCAAACATAGGACCGCTGCGGGTTTCCTGAGTAATATCTTTGTCAGTATTGGGTTTTCTACGTTATCTCTACTGGCTTATCTAATACGCGACTGGCGATATCTCATGGTTGCTGTCTCACTACCCRCTGCTCCTCTCATATTCTTTTGGAGGTATAATGTAGTTTTGTTTGATTTGATTTTCCCAGTTTGTGTTAATTTCATTAAAACACCGAGGTAAAAATTGACCCCCCTCCCCCCCATCCTTAAGAGTGGAGAGCGAGTTCACAGTATTGTTGATATGTGTAGCCGCCTCGCCTCTCGCTGTTACAGCGCAGAAAATTGTCGAACTCACCAGGAAAGTACAGCCTACATTTTTAGCGATGTTCCCTTTTACAATCATAGGAACTATATCATTATAAAAGTTCAGGGGCGGATACAAGCGTTGTACCACGGGGGGGACAGGTGCACTCACCACTCCCTTCGCATATTCATATGACCTGCATAATTCAAACAGACAGACCCCCCATCTTCAACATTTCTGGATCCGTCTCTGAAGAGAGCACAATTATTCAGTTTAAGTTAAAATGGAGAACAAAAATCATGAAAGTACATTTAGGCCAATCCATATCTGATCGTCCCGCGACTTGTGGTACAAATTTATGATTTACTAGTTTTTGGAATCATATGACCAATTGTAGAGTAATCCCCGAATCTCCACGTTGGCTAATTGCTAATGATCGTCTTGACGAGGCCCATGCAGTTCTACAGAAATTTGCTGTAAAGAATGGAGTTCCTGTCGATTCTGATCGTTTACGTCAGATGATACAAGAGGCGAAGAGTGGTGAAAGGAAGAGCAAAGTTACGCATACTAATAGAATTATGGATCTAGTGAGAACACCAAAGCTTCGTAAAAGGACTTTGATATGCACTTTTAAYTGGTAAGAGACTGGYATCTGCCCATCTCCCGACAAAATAGTTATCGATTTGTGCTGCACTCGCATACTCTCCTTCTAGTCATTTTAGGAAAATCAGGCCTTCATCTTGTGTCGCACACTATCGCACGCTCGTGATAGTCGTGAGGGTGGTCARAGTATTGCAAATGCTATTAGATAACGTGTTGAACGAGAGAAAAGTATTTCCAGACTAACGTTTCATACATATCTCTGCATCAAACAGGACCATTTTCCGTCAGAATAATAAATACTGCTAACTTTATTTATCATACAGGTTTGTTAATGCCGTGGTATTTTTTGGTATAAACTTATAYGTGAAAAACCTTGGTGGAGATCTTTACTTGAAYTTCTTTCTTTTGTGCATCATCGAAATTCCAGGTGCATTATTGTGCTGGTTCTTACTTGGTCGGTAAGTTTATGTCCTATCAGTATATGTCACACGCTAGGGACTACGCAATAATTATCAGGAGGGGGTTGAGAAATGAGTCAAAGAGGCGGAAAGCCTACACCCCCCCCCCCCSRAAAAAAAWMTATTTCCTTCTACCATAACGTGAAARAATTAGACTGCATCATCATCATCATCATCATCGCGAGAACTCACAAAAGACGCTTGTCTTGTTCAACCTCTTTAGCGGAGCAATGCTAAAAATCGCCGACACAAAGCCTTTTCATTGTGAAGGCCAGTTCTAAAAGAATTCGCGGACTTTCTCCTCTGACAATTGTACAGTCAAATATATGTTGTTGTTGTTTTTAGTTTCGGTCGTCGATTTCCTTACTGTGCATTTGAAATCATTGGAGGAGTTGCATGTATGCTTGTACTTGCTTTCCCGACCACTGACTGTAAGTATTATACATGTTGTTAAGTCACCTTGACTGCCTGCTCACTTTGGTGCATTGTTGTTTGGCAGCATATCGTCCTGTGATAACCACGCTAGCCATGATTGGTAAAGTTTGTGTTTCGAATAATTTCCTGGCTGTTTATGTGTTTACTGTCGAACTGTATCCCACAGTCATTAGGTATGCAACCTGTTTGGACGATGTTTCTTGCATTTGGCTTCTGTTGTCGGGTTTTCTTATTTGTTTTTGTTGATTGTTGTTGTTGTTTTTGATTGTTGTTGTTGTTGATTGTTGTTGATTGTTGTTGTTGTTGTTTTTGATTGTTGTTGTTGTTGTTGTTGATTGTTGTTGTTGTTGTTTTTGATTGCTGTTGTTGTTTTTTTTTTATTGTTGTTGTTGATTGTTATTGTTGTTGTTGTTGTTGTTGTTGTTGATTGTTGTTGATTGTTGTTGTTGTTGTTGATTGTTGTTGTTGTTGTTATTATTATTGTTGTTATTGTTGATTGTTATTGTTGTTGATTGTTGTTGTTGTTTTTTTTAATTGTTGTTGTTGATTGTTATTGTTGTTGTTGTTGATTGTTGTTGTTGTTGATTGTTGTTGATTGTTGTTGTTGTTGTTGTTGTTGTTGATTGTTGTTGTTGTTTTTTTTTAATTGTTGTTGTTGTTGTTGTTATTGTTGTTATTGTTGTTGTTGTTGTTGATTGTTATTGTTGTTGTTGTTGTTGTTTTTGATTTTCTGGTTAGTCATTTTGTCAGCCAGTTGTGATTGTATGGTGACTTCATTTCTTGATTTTGATTCAGCTCAGATTCATTTGTTGTATGTATAATAACATGAACTTGGATTACACAGGAATCTAGGTCTTGGTACTGCCTCGATGATGGCTCGTTCTGGAGGGATTCTGGCCCCTTATTTTGTGCTGCTTGTAAGTAATCCCAGTTCAAACTGATGCGTATTCGTAAAAAAATATGTATTGTTTTACAGGCCTTGTCCCAGGGCCTCCCAGCACAAGATCGCGTCCGCTCCACGACCTTATTCGGAAACAATCTCTAGGGGCTCAAAAACTTTCCTAAAAAAATATAAAAACAAGCATTTCCGGTTACGTGTGGACAAGGCMTGATTATACTGAGTTCAGTGCTTTCGTTTTTATTCCTTTAGGCCGATCTCCCCAGTGTTGATAGAACTCTTCCGTTAGTCTTGTTTGGTGTACTTGGTATTACAGCAGGGATCTTAGCTTTATGGCTTCCTGAAACACTCTTCTATCCTATGCCACAAACTGTACAACAAGTCGAAGACTGGCCAGAAGATTACAAAGTCAATTTCTTCAGAAAACCGCATCACGATCAAGAGGAGTTCGAGATGAAAAACAAGGAAAAAGAAAGAGAAGCCATGTTGTGAATATCTTRACAGTTTCGAAAAAAACATGCCCTAGTATGTCATGGAAACTAAATATTATGAAAAATCGAAAGCTGATGTCTAGTATAACGGTCGAATATTGTTCAGTTGAAACTGAAAATTGTCTGCGTCTAGATGTGCATGTTAATGTTCGCATGAAATTTTATCAGTTCACATAAAAATCAAGTTAACAATATTTTAATGGTGTGTGCAGACGCGCCCTGAGCACAAACCCTCATAGACGCTCTAGGAGTGTTAGAAAGTCAATCAGGAGGCTAAAGTAGCATCCTCCGCATGCATTCCGTCAGCTTTTCGGCTTTTTGATGTTTTGAGATAAGAGTGAGCATCGTGTATCATGGGGTGGGCCGAGGGAAACCTATATAATTTTCTTATAATCATATATAGTCCACAATGAGTATGCAACGACAATTCATTGAAAATAAAAAGTTTTGTTATTTCTGGTTTTTAATGGTTTTCTAAGCAGTATTTTGACGCATAGTGTTCGGTAATTTTGACCAATTTATTGCAAAAAGTGTATACAGGGAGCCTGCGACTCTACATATTTAGTGAACGTAGCCTTAGTCTATRTATCTAATAGATACATAGACTAAGGCTATGTTCACATTGGGCCGGTTCCGTTCGGAACCGTTCTAGTTTAGGCGCGCGTGCACACTGGAACTCTGGAACTGGCCTCATCTGAGGCTGGCAATGTGTTCAGGTTTGGGGCCGGCTAAAAAAGCCGATCCACTTTGAGGACAGGTCACTTCGAAGCATGAACGGATCCGTGCGAACACTGTTTCAATCCGTATCGAAATGTGGACGTTTCCGTATGAACAGTGGGAACCGTCCTAAAACCGAGGTGTCCTCAAACTTGACYGACCCCGTGTGAACGTAGTCTAAAAGTTGACTTCCTCTCGCGAGTAACCCCCTACGATTTGTACAGTATTCTGCAGTCCTTTTAGTCTAAACATTTTACAATTCCTATTTCTGCGTATTCTGTTTATTTTTCAGTTTTATTATAACAAAAAAGAATTTGAAAAATGATGAGAAAATAAGCGTCATAAATCTGTGAAACGACTACTTTKCAAAGCTCAATAGTACAGAGTCCAACAAAGTTGTCTGGAGTTGGCTAACACTGGACTTGACCAGGCCAAGTATCAATTATCACTTGTCGTTGTTATTCTATGGATCAGTATAAATACTCATTACTTATTTACAGGAATACGACATCCTTAATCATTGTATATCATAAWTTGTTTTTTGTATAATCAGTCATTTTGGTATGTATTAGGCTACAGGTGCATTTTGGTCATGATGAACCTCTATTTCATCTGCAGGTACTGTTACTGGTACAGCCAGGGGAGATTCACTTCCTGATTCATTGTTTGCTATTATCATGTCATCATCATCATCCTCATCATCATGATGACCACCAGGAACCGAGTTTAAAAGTGAGCTTGTATCATCAGTCTGGTTAAATGCATCAGCTTCATCTCGATCTCTTTCAATATAAAATGAACAGATTATGAAGCACAGCCCACCCAGCACACAAATAAATGTTGTTATGAAGAAAGAATATTCAAAAGCTTTGACACGAGCTTCAGGAGATGTCTTATCTCCTCTGATTGTRTCTGCAATCTGAAATGAAATGCACAGCCATTAGAGTAATGTGCTGGTTGCAACAATGGTTAACCTCAAACACTTACAAATCCAATAAGCCAAGGACTGCCTGCGTCCCCAAATAAATGAGACATCAAGATTTGAACYGCTTCTGCACTTGATCGTCGTGGAGGGATTATTATATACTGTATTATAAAACACATGAATTATACAATGTATTTAATTGCAATTTAATTCTAGTCTAAACATTGCCTCTCTTTCCTAAAAGTCTGCAAAGTAACTTACCAGCAGCATGTCTCCCACAGGTGCCCAATTCATACAAAGAAGAACTTCACCCAAAAAAACACAAGCCTTAAAACAAATACAGAAAAAAGCATTAAAAATATATATAAAATTGCACAGAACACAATCCAGTTACATGTAAAGTTGAAATGTATTTACATAATCGAATAAGGTGACAAATGGTGCTTTAAAAAATTGCAAAAAAAATTGGTGCTTCCTCAAATCAACAAGTTAAGCACTTGGCTCTTTCATTGTTTTCTTTCTTTGTAATTTTCTTAATACACATATTCACGTGCTAAGTTAGCTATATATTTCTTACTATGTGTTCATTTCTGATGATGGCATAAGTATGCCAAAACATGTCATGTCGAATAAACGATTTAAGATCGTAATTGTGCTTCTCAAACTATGGTGCTTCAAAACTTTTTACATACCAAGAAACAAAAAGACCCTCAAGGCAAGTAAAAGAACATGCTAGAAACTGAAGCTTTACTCCCCCTGGGGAGCAAGGATGGCCGAGCGGTTAAAACGCCGGTCTATCACCRCTGTGGTCCTGGTTYGATTCMCGSTCCGGGACTATATGTGATTTGAGTTTGTAAGCTGGTTCTCTTTCTTGCTCCGAGGGTTTTTCTCCAGGTCCGCTGGTTTTCCTCCCTCAGTCAAAAACTAGCTGTGTCGTGTAGTAAAATAATGAATGTTGAGGTAAGTGAGTGTGAGTGAATATATAGAGGGCCACAAGTTTATTAGTCTAGAGACTATTACGTGCTACCCTCTCAAAATAAAAGACTTTATATTTTTTATATTTTATTATATTTCTGGAAACATACCATGACTGATCTAGACATCAATATGCTATATTATTGATACTTACATATGCTATATTGATGTGGGAAGAAGCAAGTAGAAGAGAAACATATAAAAATGGTGTACACGATATTAGTCCAATAGCACACACAAGGGGATCTGCATTTTTTCTTGTTACTCTCCAACGACGCGCTGATTCAGCCCCTAACCATACTCCAACGATACCTGCCACACATGTTATGATGCCAAACTTTAAGCTTACACTAGAAAAAAAAGGAAAAATGTTTAGCAACTTAAGAGTTGATTAAAAGTTGAAAATAAATACTAAAACACAATTTTATTAGCAAAGTATWATTAACTTTCAGATTGGAGTTGTCTTKAATATACTGAATATAATTCAGACTTACGCATTTTCTGAGCTGTTGACTCCTTGGACTTTGGAGGCAAAATACATAAATTTTGGTGCCCAGAAAGCCAATGCACCAGTTACAAATGTTACACATGTAAACCCTATATCAAGCCAAATAAAACTTTTCCTAAAATGCAAAAATATAAACTTGAGTATTTCCATTAATAATGATGCTGTGATCATAAGGGATGAAAATAATAATCATTTATATAATAATTAATAATAAATAATAAATGTTAATGATGCCTACTTACACTTTAAACAAATACATCAAATCCTGACAGTAGCTGCTGCCATGATGYACATTTGAAGCTGAGATGATATTAGGATTAACACCTCTCTCAATGGCTCCTCTGGGAGGCTCATGAACAACAAACAGTAGCAGTATAACACAGACAACACCAAGCACTGGTGTGACCTGACCATATACAAATAATTATTAGTACACTGTCTTTTTTAAGTTATACAAACTATAATTGCATATCAATTTCCAATACCACTTATTCAACTCTAAGGGACTGACTTCATGGTTTTCTCTATTTTATGGTTTATTATTTAACATTTTATTGCCAYGGCTYCATTWGAAGCTGAAATCGAGCAATATCATCTACAGTTAATTCCACATCATTCCACTGGGAAATGYTTTTGCTCATGTTTATTATTTTCTGCTTCAACAGCCTGTCAAATCAATCACAGTACATGACTTACCCTTAGGCCAGCTTGCCATGACCCAAGTACTTTAGCCACTTCAGAACCAACAACATAGCCAAGTCCACTAAAAAACATGGAAAAGACCTTAAATACCCTTATATTATTGACCACCATAACAAATCTGGACAGGGAATCAGCTATCTATATTATATATAAGGGTACAATGATTCAAMTAAAACCAATTTAGTAGTAGTCCTAATCAAAACAGGTGCAAGTATACATCAAACTTTATTCCTTCCTTTTTTAAAAATCATTCATTCCCTTTTCATAAGCAACATAGCCCATGCTACATTCCAATGCTGGTGGTTGATGATAGCAACTACATGTATGCTAAGCCCCTCAAKAAAAGCAAATGGGTATCTATTTATCAGATCAGAGCCTTACTTAAGATCAAGGGATTGCATCCCTGGTTCAAGATAGAGGGCAATKTTTCAGGATATAATGTCATTATCATCAAATAACAAGAAAAAAATACCTTCCAACAGGAATTGCAAAGTAGAAAATGGACAGCATCCTAGTTCTCTTGTCGCCAGTGAATAAGTCTGCTATCACAGTTGGTGCAATCGTTGAATAGCTTGCTTCACCAATACCAACAACACCTCGTAACACCAGAAACCACCAGAAATGCTATCAATAAATGACAATCAGTTTTCTAMTTATTGGACACAGGAATGAAAGAAAGTTATAGTGCTTAGAAGGAGGCAATTCTGGGAGAAAGACCCTTAGGAATAAATTCAGAAAAATTAATTTCCGACTTCACTGGGATGAAATCCGAAGGTCATGGGTTCGAATCCCAGCGAGGTCGGAAATTAATTTTTCTGAATTTATTCCTAAGGGTCTTTCTCCCAGAATTGCCTCCTTCCAAGCACTATAACTTTCTTTCATTCCTGTGTTTGTTCTATCATGGTTCCATACGGTCCTCATATTCATATCTTTACATTATTCTATTACTGCAACCCTGTATCTGTTTCACCCCAGCCTGCTCCCAGTCTGGCCTTGTAGCTCAGCTGGTAGTGCATCTGTGGTACAAATCCGAAGGTCGTGGGTTCGAATACCAGTGAGGTCGGAAATTATTTTTTCCGAATTTATTCCTAAGGGTCTTTCGCCCGGAATTGCCTCCTTGTAAGCACTATAACTTTCTTTCATTCCTGTGTCTGTTCTATCAAGTGCCATATTGATATTTCTAATTAATGGCTTGTCCAGCAAAATAATTTGTTTCATGTACAGTTCCAGGGTCAGATTTCCACCTACTTCTAAATATACACAATTACTATAATGTCAATATACAAGATAGATCAATCAAACAATCAATGGATGTAAAATAACACAGATGTTCTGGATATATACTGAAATTGTTTTACATACATCTTTGCTTAACAAAGTGCTTGAAAATACCACAGCTGACCAAACAAGTACACCTCCTGCCATTAGATACTTTCTCTTCAATCGATCTCCAAGATAGCCAAAGATTGGTGCAACTATCATGTAGCTACAGATAAAAGACGTTTGAAGAAGCCCTGTTATAGAGTTGTCGTTCTCTTTGTTGAAGTACTTTTGTATCTTTATCAAAACACCTTCAAAGTAAAATGACATTAGTCAACCCAGCTATATTATATATCATTTTAATAGGAAACTCAACTGAATTATTTCATTTATACTTCAAAGAAGGCAAAACGTGCGTGGATATCTTTAGGTGAAAATCCCAGGAATAGGACATGACATGATTTGTGCTCACAGTTCTAAACACTTACAAAACAACGCATAGTTTGTACATTTTGTACAWATTAATATTAGAAGCAGCTACAATCAAGTCAAGCAAGCAAATAATCGACAAAACTAACCGGCAATTGTAAATCGGTCCATGTAGTTAAGAAGGTTGATGGTAACCAGCACAAAAACGGTGGCATATGCCCGAAAGTTTTGACCACAAGGACAACGAACTTGAGGCATTTCGTCCACAGTTTCTGCTTCTCGCGTCGTMTCTACTWTTTTKCTGTAGTGYACATTGTTTTCATTTGACATAACAGAGCTTATTCACTTCTYTCAGTAATTTGTTTGGCGAGACTATACCAYGAAACGTTCTTCCGGTGCCAAACGRACTGCGAGAGAGTGTGYGAGGGAGAATGAAAGGAAGACCTTGTACAAAGGAATCCCAGAAAGACAACAAATATATCAAAAACATTTATATTTAAATTTCATTAGTAAAGTGTTATTTTGTTTCATAATAAAAGTTATCTAATGATAAAAATTTTCTTGGATCAGGCATAAAATCAATATTAAAGTATATTTCGTGGATTGCGTTTCCTGTGGGACAGGAAGCCCAWCTCAACTCGTCTCAGTCTCTTTTGCAGCTGTGACCAGCTGTCACTTGTTGCTCCGTGACAGACTTCAACGATCGTCTTGGTTTCTGGCGGGCAKCATCATCTTCATGAATCGTTATATCAAAGACTAGGGGACTAAGAACAATCTYATTCCTGAATTTTGACTACGTGAAGCCGGTAGATTCTGTTTTATTTCATCAACATTTGGTTAACAAAATTTCGAAGCACGGCTGTGAACGTTCAGAAGTTCGAATGTCCTGAACTAGAACAAAAGTTGCCCAAGACACTGATAGTAATAATAACGAACTTGCAACTTTGTTGAATCGATTACAGTTGAAAACTTACCAATATCAAAGGGATCTACATTTGAGGTAAGGTTATTAATCAATAGATTAGATTGGCTTTTGAAAACGGTTTTAGAGGCACTGACTGACCAGCGAAGAAGTTGGCGTTGAACTACTACACCGTGAATAAACAAAACCCAACAACGCGTACGAGAGGAAATTGTTTGGTCGCTACTTAGGAGCATCAACGAAATGATTTACAACTGATTGAGGATGCTAAACTTGTAAGAACTAATGAATTACCAAGGAAATCGTATAAATTAAAACTTATTAAAACCTATGAAATACATATTGTTAATGTGACACTGATGCCTTGCTAACATTGTTACAACACTCAAATTTACAGTGGATTTACTGTACACTAAACAAACTGTCAAATTAAGGGATAATTCAAGTACGTTTTCTGCTGGATTCTGAATTTCCACAAGGTTTTTGACTGTGCAATGTTAACATTTCTAAGCTGTAAGACCTTAACAACTAAAATTGTAAATGATCTTTGTTGTGGATATGCAGATTGTAGWATCGACATCGACTGTCCTTTCTGTTTTGTTTTGAATTGGAGAACCTTTKGGTTATCAAAAGAAAAATATTTCTTATTTCTATAATCGATAGTGAAATAATACGGTAGATATACTGATAATGATCTTTTGACAAATTCCCAGTAAAGAGTAAATTGTGCSAGTTTACATCGTAGATGCTATGAATAATTTATTCAATACTTACATTGTTATGTGTTCGATTAGCTTTAAGGGTTTTGCATCTAAATCTACTTAAATTCTTCTTTGTAAACTACATGCATCAAAAGTCAAGTGAATATGCAAAGAAGTAGCACACAACTCTCCATATTTTTTTCTTGATGTTGTGTCGGTTGTTTTGACAACAGGTGTTTAACTACTAGGTAATTCTAACTACTTTACAAGGTGTGTAGCCTCATCTAAAACTATATTATCTCAAAAACTTGCAAAAAGATTGATGTTGTTATTGAGACAGACACGCTGATAAAAGATTTAGTCATGATTTCTGAAAAATTCTTGCTAGCAGTGTATATGACTAGCTGCTATATTTCTTAACTGTAGTCTTTGTTTTCAGGAGTTATCAAGCATGGAAGAAAACAGCTCAGACTCAATCTGCAGTGATGACACAGAGTATTTGCTAGGACAAAATGTTTCAATAAGAGACATCGATGACTATGAAGAAAAGCCCTCAAGAACAACTTCATTAAAGCAAAGARCTGGACAACACACTGCTATCTTGCAACAGCATCATACTTCACCAGAAACCAGGAAGAGCAACTTAAAGAAAAATGACATCTTAAGCCATCAAGATAGCAACAAATATCAACAAAAGCATCCTGTAAGGGAACAAACTAAAATTRTCAATTTTCAACAGAGGTCAAAAACCATTGAAATAACACCACCTGATCCAAGATCTTTGAAAAAACCTGTTAGGCAGAATAAAACTGTACAAGATGAAAGTAAATTGCGTCACAGTTCACACCAAACACAAATTTCCTCAGCTAGTCATAGAGAAAAAACACACCTACAAACCAAAAGTTCAGAAAAGAGAAAGACAAACATGGCAACAACCAAAGAAGAGTCTGTTAACAACCATAGTGAAAAGATGACAGAAAGGAGAATAGAAAATAAAAGAGGATGGAGAGAAAAAATGTCTCCTTTACAACAYGATCAATCATGGGACTGGAATCAAGCAAATGAAAGACATGTTTATCAATCACCAGAACAAGCTGATGTTGTTAGTATAACCTCTGAAGCAGCTACGGAAGAGCTTTTAAAAGATGATGAACTTGATGGATCTATTATACAAAAATTGAAAGAACTTAATCTTGCTGTTAATTATGACCCAGACACACAAGGTATTAATTTAATCTTGAGTATCTTAAATAATGAATAGACCTAATCGGCTTCAACCCAATTCAAACCACCCGGGAGTAAGTTTCATTGTTCGTTGTATTTTCATTTCACTGTTGAATTTGTGATAAGGTCAATAATTCRCTTAGTTTTCATAGCGCGCGCTCACCCACAGTTTTGTTTTCAGTTAGTKTTCTTAGCGCGAGCTTTCTCGCGAATTATTGTATCACGTTTTTGAGAAGTCAACAGTTTTTTGAAGCAGTTTTCTGAAGCCAAAGTCCACAAGTTAAAGCTCAAGTTTTATCTTAGTTAACATTCGGTTTTATTGGGAATTGGTACGTATAAAGTTACBTTATATAATAAGTAGTTACGTTCATTGTTGTTGTTGTATTTTTCGCAAGAAAAATGTGTTTTTACTCGTGTAAGCAAGCTGAAGATTCCTTGGTTAGCTTTAGGCAACCGTTATCATTTCAGTTGGATACAAGTTGTAGTTTACTCCTATAGTAAATGGTTTAGGATTTGTTTAAGTTAGGTAGTGAGATTTAGCGGCAACGCTAAATGTAGCGTACTAGTTCAGTTAGATTACTTAGCGACCTGAAGTCTAGTATTCATAGGACAACTTAGTGGAGAAATCCTAGAAAGACTTGTTATCAATAGAGTAAAGATTAATGCTATGATTACTTGTTATAGTTTTCGCCGTTTGTTGGCCACTTGTTTGGACGTATAAGTTAAATATTAAAGAATACACAAATACTTGGTTGAGAACTTGGTCACAAATTCTTAGAAACAAAAGTTCTTTTTCCCACAGGATTTGAATTGGGTAGCAACGTACATAGCAACGCCATTAGCCGATTAGGTCTATTAAAAGTATCTTAAATAATAAATCATATCCCCCTCCCCTATTCCTACTACACATCAGCAAAAAATAAAAGACTGAAGGGTATTTGTTAACATTCTTCAACAAGAGTATTATTTCTTTTATAGAACTCTTTGATGACAAAGTGAGAGAAGGYGCTCATCTTTTGTCCAAGCTGTTTGGTGGAAGTGTAGATAATTACTACAGTTCACCAAGGTATTAATAGCGTCAATGATTTTTATACATTACATAATATTCTGTTGTATGTTTGTTGTTATTTACTAAAAATTAATTTTGCTATTAATTTACAGTGTACACTCTGGGTCAGCAAGCGGCCAGGAAAGTAAGAAGTTATATCATTTATATTATTTCACATGTCCAGTGCTATCAACAGAAGTTTGAAATAGCAATTACAAGAGKATGCACAATTGCTAATAGTATTTTTAACATATTCACAGTTTCCCGAGGTGAAAGTGATGTAGAGGAAAAGAGAAACATCAGTAACACAAGCAGTAAAGGCAGTATGACATCATTTGCTAATGTGACACATCCACCACGTCAACACGAGGAATTCAAGAAAGCCTCGGAGCGAAAACCAAAAGTTTCTTTTGCAACTACTGATGACAGCTTATCTTTTGAAACATCACCTGGTAGCAGTCACACCAAAAGTGAACAATTTACCAGGTCACCTAAACACAAGACAAACCAATATGGGCGATTTGTAAGAGAGACAAGTGCTTTAAGAGCAGCAATGGATTATGGGAATGATGATGACGATGATGATGATCAGTCTCCTGGAAAGGCATCAAGTCCAGGACAGTCCAGAGAACTTACAGATCAACTATACCGTCCAAAGAACGTAGATAATCAGGAAGGTGTGTGCAACATAAATACCACTAAATATTGCCAAATTATGCTTATTCTATTGTTTTCTATTGTTTAATTAGCACTATTTTGTAGTAAATGGTGTAAAGTGTTGCACGCTTTTAGTGTTTGATATTGGCTAAATACAAAGATATATTTGTGACACTTCATATTTTCGTTTGCTTTAGATTCTTATATCCCAGTTAACAACACCAGCAGTAGGTATGATTCAATACATTGAAATAGTAGTTTTCTCAATCCTTTCTCTTTCACTGTCCTAAAATATCGTTTTGATCTTGAATATATATATTGAATGTTTTGTCAAGGTTTAGTGTAGAGAGATACTCAGATGCAAGTCAGGGAAAGCCAAAGGGTTTTGATGAACCACAATGGGATGGATTTTTAACTTCGACGCCTCACAAAAACAAGGGCGTCCCTCCTGATGGTCAGGTAAATATGATACCTATTCTCTAGCGTGTTTCAGTATTTTGCGTTTCATAACTCCATAGTTTTACGTAAGAATGTGGTCAGCAATCATCTCTCTTCTAACGACATTGTGAGACGATGCAAGAACGTCCATGGACGTGGTTGGTTCCATACTGGGCGCGCGCTACGCAAAAAGCCTTGAGACGACGCGCGAAATTTTGTCTTGTARTTTCGGTCTTGGCTTTGATGATGTAACCTTTTGGAATCCGACTATGTTTTGTTTCAATTAGGTGTATCGTACGACGTCTCTATCAAGCACAAATACTTACAGAAATGCAATTGTTAAATAACAATTAGAAAATAAATTATATAATGATCATATTTACTTTACTTTTTAGATCGACAGTAGGGACATTAAAAAGAAATTGTATCTTGAGCAAAAGGTTAGTGTTTTTGAAATCTCATTCATGTCTCTCATGTCATTCTAAATCATTTCTATTGATTCTAATCTCTTAGCTCCAAGAAATACAGGACAAACTTCAAGAAACTTCGCATSAATTGAAAGAGGTGAAAATTGACGTAGACGACGCTTTGACAAGAAAAAAGATTGCTCTGGATGAGGTTCACATTCTTGAAGAACAGTTAAAAAGAACGAAAGCTGAYATCAAAACMAGTGAAAATCTTGCYGAGAARTACAAACAACAAGTCACCATTACAAGGTAGATCGCTGCCGGAATTTAGAACGGATATATAGTATAAATGTGATATAACCCAGGCTTTTGATTACAGGTCAGAGCTAATGGAATTAGAAGTAGAGCGTGATWCAGCAAGACAAGACATCAAAGACATGGAAAATATGTTAACAAAACAAAAACAGGAAATGTCTGAAGTAAGTTTGATCATTTCACTTGGCTCGTAAAAGTAGAAGAAGATGTCTGAGTATTTTTGTCGTCCTGTGACATTCTTCTCTTATTTTCCAGGCTTACAAAGTGGAAAAGAAAAACGAAAGAAAAGCTATGGAATTATCTCTAGAGAACAATAAACTCCAACGAGAACTCGAAACAATTAAAACTAAGTTTAGTCAGTCCGAAACCTCGTTTATTAACGAGAAAAAGCTGTTGTTGGACAAAATTCACATGCTGCAAGATGAGCTACAAGACGAGCAGAAATCAAGCAAAGCAACTGTGCAAAGAATGAAGGAGGTGACATTGATGCTTTCATCCATCAATCGCTTTATCACTCTGATTCATTTTGAATACACATGGGTTTTTATCCATTTATTCTTTTTCCCATTATTTATTTATTTGTTTATTTATTTTCTTTTATTGTTTATCCAAGCAACTTGAGGAAGAGCGTCAAAGCGCACGGTCGTCTCACTACGAGCGCATTCAGTCGATACACAAATTCCAAGACGAAGCCAAAGAAATGCAAGAAAAAGAACTCGAGGCTTTGAAGACCAGATTAACTAGAGTAAGTACAATGTGTAGTATGTTTATCGATAAAGGGTGTATGCTTTGTGTTGGCCATAAAAACGAGGATTTCCGCTAGCAATATTATTGATCATTGATAAAAGTAGCAGACATTTGAAAATAATTGTTAGTTGAAAATTATATGTGTTATAGTCTTATTGAGTGCCTAGAGAGCTGGTTTACGATAACTCTGCCTTTCCGTTCAAAGGAGCACGAGTTACAACAAGAAAAGTTGCAAGAAAAGTCTAAACGAGAAGTTGATGCTCTCACTAAAAGCGTCAAAGTAAGAATTCATTAACTGACCATTTTCATTTGTTATTCTGCCTTCCTTCAGCTCTTCCCCTCCATTCTCTGGTTTTCAAGCGCGCGTAAGCACCTTCCTTCTCAAAGTGAAAAACAGTTTCAATGTTTATTTTACGTTGTTTCTTCAGGATGGAGAGTTCCGTATTTCCCAGTTAAATTGTACATTAACAGCTCGAGAAGAGGAAATCGAAGTTCTGAAAACTAAACTATTGGACGAGAAACAGAAGTTCTGTGAGAGTGAACTTGCTTATCAAGAAGAAATGGACAAACAAAACTCCATCGCTAAATCATTACAGGCTGAGGTAAGATGACATAACTCCTCTATTCATCGCTCTTCGTCACTGAATCAAACGATGAAAACTGTATGTGTAATAATACAGGTCGACGCTCTGCAAGAAAGAGAGAGCAACTTGACGTCTTCAAATCGAACGCTAGAACAAGTATGTATTCAACTAGTACAACGCACTATCCCTTTAGAAAGTGTTAGCAGTACAGATAAATCAATTGACATTGTATATCAATTTCTATTTAATAGAGTTTTGACGATAAAACACACGAAGTTCGACGGTTAAGAGAYCAGTTACAAAACCTTGTTGATGAATCTAGTAAAGCAGAAGAGGTAAGGCGAATACCATGGCGGCGTTTTGTTATTTTTGTTAATTGAAACAAACATTTCTCTGCTTTGTTGCACTTTAGACCCAAAAAGAAGAGATTCGAATGTTGCGTAGTTTGGTAAGGCAACAAGAAGATGCTACGAGATTACTGGGCGAAAAGATGAGAACTGAAGCACAAGAACAGGTATAAATATGAAGTTTTTCATTCATTCGGTTTATTCATCATTCAACCATTCATTTAGCCTGTGTACATCCGTTTCTCACCCCTCACAAGAAATCGAGAAGAGATTTTTTGTGAGAGGTGAGAAACGCATGTACAAAGGCTAGCATTCATTTCATCTTGCAAGCGTTTATAACAAATGTCAATGCATAGATGTATTTAAACGCGTGTCGTCGGCAGCGCGCATTAATGATTATCTCCAAACTACTTTCAGATACGTACAGCGCTACAAAGAGAACGAGAAGCTGTCGACAAAGAACGAGAAAAGCAAAAAGAAAAGCTGACAGAGATCAAAAATAGTTATGAAGAAGTTTTGAATCAAGTTCGCGGTGAGCTTGATAGTGAAAGACAAAGTCACCAGCAACTCCAAACAACGGCTTTGAAACTGAAAAAGGTAAATTGTTTCTGCCTTTGATGKGATACGTTTTGTTATCGTTTATTGACAGTGCGCATGGACAATTGACCCTAAGCATCTACTTCACAAGTTGTATTTTATTTTTACCCATAGGAAGTTGACGAACTTCGTGAAAGAAATCTTCGTACTCAAGAGGAAAAGGTTGCACAAATCGGGCAACTAAGACTGGAATCCAAAGAACAAATTCTGAAACTGAAAGATAAGATTCAAGAGGTTTGTGAATTGCGATAAATATACTTACGGAAAACTTCTTAATGTGAATAAGTTGATGCAGTGTACTGTATATTATTCATCATGTGCTGTTTTACAGCTTTCCTTGCTCACAGACAAGAACGAGAAAGACATTGTCCTCGAAATCAATGAGGAGTGTCGAAGGATGGCGTCGTTGGTTGGAGGATCTCCTAACACCACCCCTATCAAGTAGGTTCCATGCGAGCCATATGTCAATTTATGATCAATTTTCTTAGTTTAATCAAGCGGGCTGTTGTTGTTTTATAGCTCAAGCAGTCTCTCAAGCAGTTTTAATGGTGGATTAGACAGAGATAGCCCTGGGGCGAATAGTCCTGCAAGAGAAGCACTGGTAAGTATATAGCCTCTTCGTTTATAACAGTTTGACAGCCGATACATCTGGCATTGGCCCGAAATGATACCATTTACAAATCTATTCCACCGCTCAGTAGCAATTTTACTTTTTTTACTATGCAATATGTTCCACCTAGAAGATTGGTAAAATACYATTCATTTTTCAAGAAGAGAAGCATCCTTTAGGTGTGTCAGGACGTCTGTCAGGAATCATTTTGCATTAGGTTCATCAACTCATGATAGGCGGTCATTTTGGCGAAAGGTCTATTATGTAATCTCCAAGTTATAAGAGTCATTTTGGTGTTTTAGGCCAATTTAAAGTCATGCAACGCCGAGTTACGACAACATTTGGTGGAAGCAAGAAGGGAAATCGAAACACAAAAGAATGAATCTTTCAGGAAGCAGGTTAGAAAGATATTTAAGCGCTTGAGTATTGTTTAAAAGTAAAATACCATATAGTGTTTGTTKTTGGTTTTTAGTCTGACAGCACTGAACTCAGTCAACAACAAATCAGTTTGTTTAAAAAAGCCTTAAAGAGTAAAGTAAGTAAACCATATAAACTTTTACATTGTTATTAGAATCACAGTTCTCAATCAACTATTTATCCTTTGAACAGGACGATGAAATAGCRCGCTTAAAAAGGTAATTACACACACTCTATATGGTAAATACTATAGTTTATGTGGGTCATACTTATAATCATCAACATTACTATTATAGATACTGTTAATATGTTAAAATACGTGTATAGTCATATTTATAATCATAATCTTGTTTACTCTAGACAAGTTCAAGAAGACACCAACCGAAACGCTTCCGTTTACAAGTCTGAAAGAAATGTAGGTTATTGGCTTAGAGCCCAGTACTTTCAGACGAGTTTGTCAATATTTGTTTTTTGTTTTATTTCAGATGATGCTTAAGACCATCGAACGGCTTGAAAAAGAATTGAAAGAAACCAAAAAACTTGTAAATATTAACAAATCCTGGATCTGAAATTTAGWGATTTTATCTTACATTYGAATGATTTGAACGCGTTATAGATACCTACGTCTAGTCCCATCASCAATGGCCATTCATTCACGGACAATACCAGTACAAGTGGGCTGGGYACTAGTTTCAGTTCCATGACAGCGAGYCCGCGGCCTGGGGACGACAATAATTCAGCCAGGTTATTACGTCACTTACAAGGAAGAGTCCAACAACTTCGCGCACAAAATGACAGTCTGAGAACTGATTCCTTGAACGAGAGTCAAAATAGTGTTGGTACTATAGATACTACGGTATGTGGACTGAACTTATATTGAACCTCACCATAACTGTCAGCTTAATTTCAACGTCGTAGGTGCGCATGTGTACAACGTTTGCTGTAGAATCATGTAGATCCCCTTTACCATAGAATATCAACCTGGATAAAGATTCTCGTAGCGACTAAGTGTAATCTTTATAGTATCTTTGCAAATGAAAGTTAATTTACGCCAACTTAGCCCAGGCATCTCGATGTATGCATATTGAACCCTGATAACAGACATTCAGTGATGGGAGGCGTATTCGCTTATTTGCAGAAATAACCAATAATCCCTTGAAATAAGCTGTTCTTAWCCTAGACACCAGTTTCTGACGTACACTGAGTCTTACAAAATTTCCGATATTGACTTCCCGGCTAAAAGTTCTGATTGCCAACAGATTGACAAACGTTTTATTCTTAGTTTGACCGAGACAGTACAGACGATCCAAACTTAACGAAAAAACTTCAGACAGCGTTACAGGTTAGAAGGCAGCACAACTGATTTTATCGTTACCTCCTTTAAGCGTCTTTGTTTACTGTGTTTTAATTATCATCGTTGTAATATAGATTTCTTTCTCGTTGCTGCTGCTTTTAGGTTTCAGATCAACGCGCCAACAAAAATGCAGCGATGTTAAGTCAGAAAATGCTGGAAATGACGAAATTGCAGAAAATGTTAACTCACGCAACCAAGGTATGTTGTTGATTCACAACTTATCAACCTYGATTTGTTTAGAWCACTTTTGCTACACTGAAAGACTGGAGGTGTCTCAAAGGGTGTCCATGAGATTCAAAAAATAATGACCAATAGAAATCCTTTGCTGAAGTTCAACCAAGATGGCCGCTGTGACGTATATTGAAATCGAAGAATTACAGAAGCGGTCTTGTACTTATTCTGCTAGAACGAAAGTCACTCTTTTGCGCTCTTTTGTTTTTGTATTTTCTAGACAATTTGCTAATAATTGATAATTTAATATTGTAATATATGTTGTTGTTTGTTGTAGGAAAATATGAAGTTAGAGCGTGCTTACGCTTCGCTACAGAAAAAAATGATTGAGACGTCACCTACGTCAACGTGAAATCGTTTGCAGTTTTTAATTTATTAGTGTATCGTCTTAAGTAACCAAATATATATACTACTTGTATATAACATCTAATAATTCAATATACCATGAAAAGGACATGGATCTCCAGTGGACTTCGGTGTATAACTTCTGAAAACCATATTTTCCCAGGCCTAGAGTTTAGCAGTCTACAGACACGTACACCTCAAATGTAAACGTATTGTTTCAACTTAGTTATTTTAAAGTATTTTATATAGCTTTTAAGGTTTTTAAGTTTCAGTTAAGGTATGTTTAGGGTGCAACTGACACTGAAGTGTTTTCATAAAGTGTTAATAATAGTCAGAAAGCGAACAAAGAGAGGTATGTGAACAAGGAGCACTGTGCTCGGCTTGATGGGTGTTATTTCATGCTTTTTGGTTTTTATTGTGGATTTAGTGGCATGAAGTAAAGTACAGCCTTTTGCACAAATTATGAGACATTTATATATATATAAATATACCTAACCAAATATCAAAAACACCCAAGAAATTATGGTATACCGTCGCTGATATTTTGTCATGATTGCCTAGCATCAGGTTGTTACAGACAAAATATCAGCGACGGTATCCCATAATTTCTTGGGTGTTTTTGATATTTGGTTAGGTATATTTATATATATAAAAATGTCTCATAATTTGTGCAAAAGGCTGTATGACAAATATATTAATAAAACTATTTTACAATGTCATAGTTTATAAATTCAACTATTCTGGGTGTCTGGATTTATCATCTCGTATTTTTTATTGACGACGCGACAAGATAAGGCAAGATAAAATGAGGCCAGATTAAGCGAAAGAAGAACAAAGACGATGTACAAAACTACACAGAAGCATTTGGTTCACATAACGGACTTGCAGTTAAAAATATGAAAAGAGCTTTTATATTTTTTTTTCGGTCGAGAGTATAAGAATATAATCGCGTTTAATTATTTCAAAAAAATGTTTTTAGTTTGTACCTTTTAGGGGTGAAAATATGTGTTGCCACGCCCTTTTTCGTAACATCCTGGTATTGCTTAGGGGTAGTTTTTAAAATTTCCGACCATCATCCCCACTTAAATACGAAGGATTCCCCCCGGACTTTAAGTTGATATAAGTCAAGTACATATCATCAACCAAGTGACCAAAGGCCATCCAGCTACTCCATGGCTTGTAACAGTAAAAAATAGTAGTGCGCAAGATCACCGAACAACCTAGTCTACACAGAGTTCGTATGGATTTTTCGACTTTTTCTCATGGATCATAAAGACTGGGTTTCATGGTTTGTTTCATTCGCTCAGTGTGACTTGAAGAAAGTGTTGGTACTGGACTACCCTACGGGTCCTTTGTCTGGTGTTTGTCTGGAGTGTACCTTCWGGCTGAGGGATATTACACGGATTTGACAATATTTATTATTATAAAGATGTATTTTAGTATCAATGCACTAGCTTTATTATTTGTTTCGTAACTGCTATTGTGT